GTGACCACTGCCCTGCCAGGTGAGGGGGGCATCAGACAACTATGTTAGATGACAAAATAACCTCAAATTTAAAAAAGTAAAAGGTAGAGTACAGAGTGCATAGTGTAAGTGTAGAGTGTGTCATTTGAGACGTAGCTTTTCTCTCTATTTCAGGATCTCTGATGAGGGACCTAGTGGTCATGATAAGTTTGTACCCAGAGTTCCCGGAGGAAGTGATGTCATCACTGGCATCTCGAGGCGAGTTTGTTTTTGTGATTGACAGATCAGGCAGTATGGGCAGCGTGATGCATCATGGGACAAGAGCACAGAAACGCATTGAAAGTGCAAAAGTAAGATTTAAGATTCAATAACAGGATGTTTTCATGTCAGAATATAGATTTATTATGGCTCTCTTGAGTTTGTTTTGGGATTTTATTGAATTGTGAAAAAATTACCAATGACTTGTGTACAATAAGATTTTGTTGCATAAAAAGCTTATGCTAGTCTTAAAAACTTAGTCATGTATTTTTTTTCTTCAATATTCGTCATAACTTTTTAAGGTCAGTTACAAAAAGGTAGATTTGTCTAATTTGAATTAGAAATATAAGACTGATTACCCCTTGACAGACTTAACAAAGGGGCTATGTTTATGTAGCTGGTCCCAGGAATGTGTGTTTTGAAAGCCTATAGAGTTATGTTGAGTTTAAATATGTGTCCATTGTAGTAAATTCTGGAGTTTTGTTCTCATGTTCACTTTCTATCCATGTCTCTCTATAGGACACTCTGCTGTTACTGTTGAAGAGTCTGCCCATGGGTTGCTACTTCAATATCTATGGATTTGGCTCGTTTTGAGTCCTTCTTTCCGTTAGTTAACTAGATCTTCTTCATTCATAGATATTCAGCTTTGAAATGTGTCAGTGGAGATGAGATGTGTTTCTGTGTGTCTTTGCAGTCAGAGTGTTGTGTATAAACAGAAAACAATGAATCAGGCTCTGAAGAAAGTGAAGGAAATGCAAGCAGACATGGGCGGCACAGAGATTTTACAGCCTCTAAAACACATCTACAGTCAGCGCTGTCACCCTGATCACCCCAGACAGGTACAACACCTCAGCATACACCTGAACGACATTCTGGAATCTGTGTAAAAGTATAAACATGGCTTAAGACTCAGTTGTTTTTCTCTCTTCAGCTGTTCGTCTTCACTGATGGAGAGGTGGGAAACACTAAAGAGGTGCTGGACCTGGTGAAAAGTCACGCTCACTCTCACAGGTAAAGGTCTGCTGGGTTTGATCTGTGCTTCATTCAGCTGTTTGCTTTTCTAAGACAACAACAAATCCCAGTAAACACAGTCTTTTTCAGTACTTCCATGTTTCTGCAGGTTGTCCATCCACCGGCTGGCGGCTCGGACCCTGATCCGTTCTCTGGAGCAGGAGGAGAGGTCAGGTGCTGCAGATGTTGAGGGCATCAGGAGCAGGATGGTGGAGCTCAGTGTTCAGGCAGGAGTGAGCAGTGTTCATACAGCCTTCATTGCTGTTAATAAAGACAGCAGACAGACTGTGAAAGGACCCCTGAAGCAGAGAAGAGTGTCAGCATACGGTTAGTGCTCTGATTGTGTGTGTGTATGTCACTTTTACTGTCATTTGACTATTTGATTTTTACACTGATGTGTTCACCTCTTTAAGATTTTTCAGATTACCATCACGCACTTACTGCGCCAATTTGTGGTAAGACAAACAACAGTCTGTCATTTGTATGTAATGATACACATTACCAGCCAAAAGTTAATTGAACTTGAGCTTTAGTCACACTTAAGGTTTTCATAATTTAAGTTTGTAAACAAATAATAATTTATAATACAATTTGTGAAAGGGCCCCTGCTGCAGGGAAAAGTGCCGACACACATTAGTCTCTCATTGTGTCTATATGTGAACTTGAGAGGATATCTGTGTCCATTTTTATAATAATTTTGCAACCAATGTTACTATCACATAGATTTTAGATATTTACTGGGTTCAGTTAATCAAAATCAAGGGTTAACATTTTCGGACACGTTTAGTGCTTTGATTGTGTTTAAATAAGTGACTGGACTGTTTACTGCAGTACATTTAATCTGTTCTTTTGAAAGCAAATTTGTCTTGATATGTACTGTATAGAGTCCCACAGCGCCAATATGTGGCAGTGTCTTTTCAAGCACCACATTTTCTTCAGAAAATATTAAAATACAGTTAAAATTAGGATTTAAAAATTTCATGCAATGTAACAGTTTACATTTTGTGTGTGTACAGCTCATTAAGATTAAATGCATTTGTTTTTTAGGGATGTCTTTAGGGAACCGTTGCCCAGTAGGTGGTAATATAGACTGTTCTTTGCATGTCAGTGCTGTTTTAGTGCTCTGTTTGTGTCTGTATAGATGTGTGTTTTGTCTGTTTGTCTGACAGCGATGATTTCAAATACACTTCACTTGTTTGTCACTTCATAGTTTACGACATTTGATGCGTTGACTACATTATGATGAGGTAAATGGTTCTTTTCTATCTGTTGTGTGTGGCGGTTTCTTGTGTCTCCATAACAATCCATCCCTATTCCAAACCTAATCTTGTTTGTTAGTCCTTTTGGATATTTCTGTTCTTGACTATTTCTCCAGATCTGAATCTGTTCTGACCTTTGGTTTCATTGCCTGTAGCCCAGACGGTCATCACAACCGCGAGGTAAATGCACCTCAATGTAATAGTTCTGTGAAGTATGAAATGTTGTTTTCAAGGTGTATTACAAAATTGGCACGTTTAATTATTGATTTACCATCCTCACCAAACCACACAACTAATGAGATTTCAGAATGAGTAAGAAAACATTCACACGGGAACTGCTTTGTGTTTAAAGCCAGCTCGTCAAACCGCAACAGAGTAAAACAGAAAGTAGGACATTTTCAAATGTTGAAGTACATTTATCTTGACACCACATCTAAAAACCGCAGCCCTCATGGATTAAGACAGAGAAAAA